TTTTGAATTTTCATTTTAAAAATGGGGGGGGTGGGGAGGGAAGGGAGGCAGTAAACATACCATTTGAAGCATCATTTGGAAAAAAAAAAAAAAAAGGCAAAGGAAGAAGAAGAAAATGATGTTGCTTCAAAAGAAAAAGAAATGTGTGTTGGAGGTTACATTAGACACTGGGGTCTCTGATTTCGAGACAGTAGATGGACTGGCCAGGAGCCAGGTAAGACAAACTGAATGAAAGGCACATTTCCATTTAACTCATAGTTGTGTTTTGCCAAAACATCATAAAAGTCCAGCTGTCCATGCAAAACATACCGGATTTGGAAAACAAGCAAATGTTAACAGTTCTGCTTCCCCCACTCCCTATCCCCTGGTTATAGCTAGGTTTTAAACTAAAACCTTTCCCTCAATTATCTTATGCTCCATCTCAACTCTTCCCCTCTTGGGACTGCAAATACAACTCCATCATCTTCACTCTAATGATAATATTGCAAATAGTATTAAGCAGCTAACCATGGTAAAGCACAGCCTGAACAGCCAGATCCAGTCTGCCTTCAATTAAAGATGTTTTGGTCCTTTTGGGCTGTTCATTTATATGGACAAAGAAAAAACCTTGTGATCTGATTCAGAGTTTTGACTTCGTACTACTTCTGGGCTTCTCTGTCTCTGAGATATACAGGCAAATTTTACTGGTCTGTCAGATACATGTGGAGAAGACGTAACACTTGCAGGTTTTGAAGTACCTTTTTGGGGGTCCTGTCGCAATTATACATTTTGGGAAGAATGTTTTAGCTCTTCAGTTTCCTTCTTAGGAAGGAAAAAACTTTTTTTTTTTTTCCTTTCTCCATTCCTTCATTTGTCAGTGATGTAAGAACTAGAACTAAAGTAAGGGGCCTTTTCGATTTGATTTGTATAGACAGGATACAGAGGTACAAACATGTGGACTGTGATCCACTTGCAGTTGGTCTTATAAAAAGAACCTAAGGATCAATGGCATTCAGGCTGGAAAGAGCATCCCTGGATGATAACAGATGATGATTTCTAGGGGAAAATAAACAATGTAAGTACTCAAATATTTCTATATTTTACATTTTGCAAATACAAATATAAAATTACAAATACAAATATAAAATTATAAATTATAAAATCTTTGTGAAGGGAAGGTTTGACATACACTTGTAGGAAAGAAAGAATGGAAGGCTAAGATTAGCTGTCTTGACACTTTGGTACTGTTCCTGTTAGGGTTCTACAGCTATGGACTTTGCAGACCTCAAAGACTGTGTTTCCATATCTAGAGACTTTCATCATTGGTAAGCTTTTTATGTTTCTGGCTCACACATACAGTATATCTATGATGAGTAAATTAGCCGAACAGTTGGCTCATCAATATTTACATAGGAGGCCTTTATAAATAACCCATCAGATTTCCACACACATTTGCTAAACTTACAGTTGTGACATCCAACACAAGCCCCAAGAGCTTGCCTTTAGAGACAGTTGATGGAGAGGTTTGTACATCCTGTGGAAGAAAAAACACCCAATCTTTATCAGTGTTGTAAAATCTGCCTTCAGAATGACTTCATTGTGTCACTGCTGTGGTGCATTGTTTTCAATTGTCATTTGGCTGTTTGGGACAAATGAGAACAAGCAAGTCAATGAAAAGCCTCCCTGGGTTGCAATGTTGTGAGTAAAAATGAGAAAATTGGCTTCTGTTATCACAGAACACCCCAAACAAACACGAGTTGTTTATCATTGTAGAGAATAATTAGCATGTTGAATTTATTTCATGATTTTACATAAACCGATAAGGAGCTCTTTTCCAAATGATTTGCAGGTGATTGTGATCTGTTAGTATCAATCTCTGTTTTTCTTTATAGGAATCATTTATTGAATGCTGGAATGTTTCCCCTGGAAGAACAGATGCGGATGCGTAGGGCAGCACAAGCGTAAATATGGAGTGGTTGATTTGAAGGCTTTGTGCTACCTGTAACCAAGCTTTGCTTGTTAGGGTGATTTCAGTGATGCTGAGATGAATCTTGCTGTCTATTTGCAAGTGTGGTGTACCACCTTTGCTGACTCTGTCCTGGGGCTGAAGCCCATGGGCTAATACTTGATGACTGCAGTAGCACCTCCTCCTGTGTGCAAAGCTGATCAGCCTCATCTGCCCTTCCTGTTGATTTCTATTTGCATCCTGCTGAGGAATTCAAATACTGTTGTACTGAGTGGAAGTGGCATGGGGTGGGGAAGGAAAGAACTCCCCAAGAGCAGCGCTCACCCACTGCAACACATCTTGCTGAACTCTCTGCTGATGGAGAGAGGGGACATGCCCCTCAGGAGAGTGCCCTGAGGGGAGGCTCTTGAAAGGACATCATGTCTGGTGGAGTCAGAGCAACATGACAACTGACACGTGCTTGTCTCAACTCACCAAACTTTCACAGCAGTGTGGTTTTTTTTTGTTGTTTTGTTTTGTTTTGTTTTGTTTTGTTTTGTTTTGTTTTCTGCAAGCATCACAACTAAAGGGGACTTTAAAGAAGGATTACAACTCTGTAAACATCCACTGGGAACTCACCCCAGGGAACAACCTGTAGAGGAAAGAAACATGTAGTCTCAACGTTTCTGAGATGCTCCTTCTTTTGTGTTGTGGTGGCTCACAGAGCAGAGGCTGTCATGGAGGCGTCGTGAGGCTGGAGGCAGCCTCACAGCCCACCACAGGAAAGGGACCTGCAGTGTGGGAGATGGAGGAATTGAGTCTCCTGACAGGAAGGATCCTCAGGAAGGGGCGAGCTTCCCTGCTATTTGTCTGTCAGTGATCTTTGATGAAGTGAAATTAATGATAACTTTGATATTTTCAGGAATTCACCTTGCCCCTGGCAGCATTTTCACTGCTAACTGAGCCTCTTCTCAGAGCAGATATTGTAAACAACAAACAAGGTTGGCTTGTTTGGTGCTGTGTCTTGCTGAGGACTTACCCCTTCAGAGGAAAGGGATCACAGGCAAAATTGAACTTTTCTCTGAAGTAGCTTTGATCAGTACTGATAGCTATGATGTTAAAAGTTGCTTGCCCTAGATTGGGAGCAGCCAACCTTCCAGAGCCTGACATGCTAGAAAATAACATGTGTAAAGTCAGAGAATCAGGGTTTTTATAAACTAGCTGAATTAGCCTCTGGTAGGTATTTTTAGCATGAAGACTAATACAGAAATACTATGCAGCTTCAAGCATATCTGACTTATTCTTTCACCATTTTTTTCCTGTCTGGATGCCTACCTGGGCAATCTGCTCTAGGAAACCTGCTTCGGCAGGGGGCTTGGACCCGATGATCTCTTGAGGTCCCTTCCAACCCCTACAATTCTGTGATTCTTTGATTTCAATAAATGTCCAAACCTATCTTTGGTACATTATATTTGTTTATATTTGTTATAAATATATATTGTATTTATATATATATATATATATATATATATAAATATATTGTACGTTTGTTTTTCTAAGTAGCATAGCTATGGCTTTTTAGTGAAAATATCCACAACAGTAATTATGACATTTTCCAGACAGCCGTGGCCTCAGTGTATCCCTACTAGCAAATAAACCAGACCAGGGCTCCTCTAGTCCTGAGGGCAAGTTGCACAGCTTGCAGTCACTCAGGTAGGCTGTCTTGCTATGAGCGCAGAGCAACCGCCTCAGTACTGCCTGTTGTGAAAAGTCCCTGGCCTGTGCTATGCCCCAAAACATGCCTTGGCATTGTCTGGGTCAGTTGGCACAGGCCAAAAGTGTGCCAATAAGGACACCAGCAGTGAAACAGCACAGACACCCACATGCCAGTGATTGGATCCATGCCCTGGCCCATTTCAGTTTGCTGCCGTGGTTGTAGACACTGTGACTTACAGCGCAGTTTATATGCCGCTGTAATTTTGTAGGGAGGTGGCTTGTGTTATGCCGTGCACGCACAAAGATTTTGCAAAATGCAGCACCTTCCTGAGGCATGCTCCTGCTAAATAAAAGAGCTCACAGGGAAGTTTGCTCCCTTGGGTAGCTGGGGGAAACCAGAGTGGTCTCCTCCTCCAGTGGTGTTGCGGTGTAAGTGGCCCTGCCCAGCCACAGCAGAGGAATGTTTTGGCTGGCCCCTCCTGTCCCCCTAACCAAGAAAGCTTGGGATGAAGTCAAGCACCCTGTGGGGTGATCTGAATATGCACAATGCAGAGGCATTGTGCAGGCCCTTCTTGCCCTTGGCAAGTGGTGCCCACCCCTACACGGGGCCGGGCACCCTCTGTTCCCTCCCCAGCTGATCTTCAGGTCTCTGCACGGAATGGCAGCTGGCAGGCCTTACTCTTCGTCCTATACCTCGCAGAGTCCTTTTGAGTATTTTGAGAGATGCATCCGCTCCCCGGTGCTTCAGATGCTCCTTCCCCCTTGCAAGGCTTCCCCAGGTGCCGTGCAGTGGGTGCTGCATGCCAGCTGCTGCTCTGCATGGCCCAGCCACCACACCAACTGGTCCCAGCATGGACTGGTGGGCTGCGCAGGCACATGCAGAAAAGGACAACCAAAGTACCAAAGAACTGGGCAGCTCAGGAGATGGACTTTAGCCAGGCACTCTTTTAGCCTGACTCATATCTGCTCCTTCAGCACCATATAATGTGAAATGGGCTATAGAAAGCCAAAAAGTAGAAGACTCTCCTCCTGTGGTGGGCTTTCTTTCACTGTGTTTATCTAATACAACCACTGCCTCCTTTCACACTCCTTTCTTCGTGTTCTTTAGAAACTGCCTGGTAAGGCCTAAGGAACAGCTCAGGGGTGTCCTAAGGGACTGATTAGGCACAACGCGCTTCAGGAGGCTTAGCTGTTAACTCCAACCATGTCCACTGCAGGGGGTGCACCCCCTTGGCAGCCGTGCCTGGATAGCGTTGCAGCAGCAGCCGTTCTACAGCCTCCTGGAGCAGATGCACTCAAGGGGCTGAAGGATGAGTTTAGCAACGACTGCAAAACAAACTGTTGTTTTGTTTTTCTTTAGGAGCTGTAGCCATGATCCGTGGCTTAGTGCCACTGAAGAAGATGTGATTTGCAGGGCTGTTTGAGCAGGTACAGACCAGCTTCTCTACCAGCTTGCATCTGTATCTCTCTAATGGGCTGGGGAGAAAAGGTACTTCTGCTTTCAATCAAGTTAAAAAACTCTTGTACTGTGCTGGCTGAAGCAGACAAGAGGATACAGATACAGACTTGTCTCTGTCTTTTCTGTGTGCTGTACAAATATTGCAGCACATTGTATGAGAAACGTACAACACTGAAACCAATATGCAGGATTTGTTATTTCATTTATTTACAATGGACTATTAATAGTAAATCAAACATCAATTTAACATAAATGGAGTGTGGGTGCCAGCTCTCCCTTTATAGCACAGCAACCGCATGCCTTCAGTCAGCTTGATTATTGCAATGGCAGCATTGCAGCTGGAAAGAAAGCCTTCACCAGCATTTTGAAGGTGGAAAATCCTGTATAACCTTGATTATTGCTGAGCTATTTGGAGTTTGCAGAAGACTTAAATTCAGTGGAAAAACAAAAACCTTTCTGTTGTCCACTGAGACTTGATTGTTTGATAGCAAAAACAAGCCTGGCAAAGAACCAGGGAAGTGAGAAATTCCAGTTAAAGAGCTTAGGCCTGATGACTGTGCCCTCTCCCCCTCCCCTTTTCTTTTTCCAAGAAACAAAAGCCCACGTCCTTGTCAGAAGACATCAATGCATCTTGCTCAGGACTGATTAGAAGGCCTGCTGTGGGAAACCCTAACTAAATTACTGAATGAAGTCTTGCATGTGCTCCTTGTAGGCTTCTCATAACTCTCGTAACTAAAAGTGAAGATGTAATGTTCAAAAGTCTTAAGCTTCACTGAAGAATGACCTCTTCATCCCTGGACCTCCAAGTCATATTTAGCCCTTGATGGAGATGGTTTAACTAATTATAAAACTAGTAACTCTCTCTCAAGGATCAAGATCAAGGAGTCCAGAAATGATGGTGGTCTGTTTTTGAAGACATTTATTTTTGTTGCTCTTGAATCTTAATCATGATTTGCATTTAAGCTATTATATGTTTAACTTTTCCCTTCGTTTGAAAGCAAGAGTGGTTATAAGGAAAAGAGCATCCTCTTGGTTACTTTTTAAGATCTTTATTTTAATGATAAACTCTTGAAATATCATGAAGCAAGGAAATATGGTCTAATATCAAGACAATGCTGCTTGAAAAGCTTGCACACCCACATTTCTCTGTCCGCAAATTATATTTACTCCACTACGGAGGAAATATGTAAGAGAAGAAAAAATCTTCATGAGGGTGTATGTGTGCATATGTACCCACCTACTCTGTGGGCTTTGAAAAAGTAATTAAAAATAGTTTCCCTGTCTCATAGAGCTTGGCTCTCCATCCTCATTCTGCACATCCATTCCCTTGTGCCAGCACAACTGTTTATGTGGCCATCTGGAGAGCAGATCCACGTGAAGACAAACCTGGGGAGAAAAAGTTTTCAGCCAGATCCATTTCCCACTCTCAGTTGCTGAGCGAGCCTATGATGACTTAGAGCACTCATCATCATGCTTGCAACATAATTATGCAGTTATACAGCCAGCAGGGTAGGGAAACCTGGCAGTGAGGATGTGGCTGCTGCTGGAGTGGTGCATGAAGCAGAGGTGGTGGGCAGACAGCTGGAGGTGGTCTTGTCTCAAACTTCTTTGCCAAGTTTTGCCACAGGGTGTTTTAAGGAGTCCTGATATATAGGGTATAGTATAAGACTCAACCACAGAATCATCAAATACATGTGAAAAAATAGAAGAAAAGGTCGCAAGAGGAAAATGTTAGCAGGGGCTCATAATTCACATGACTTTTTGAGTGACTTCCTTATCTTTTGAGATATACTATAAAGTGCTGGGTTTTTCCTCTCTGAACTGGGGCTAGCACTGTTTTTATTCAGCATTACAAATGATGTAATTTTTCTCTCCTGTGCAGGCAGAATACAATCCTTTTCCCTGGAACAAGCTCAGTTTTCCCCTTGCTAGATGGGTTATTTCAGCTAACGTGATATATACTTCATGGGTTTTATTCTCCTTTAAAAATTGGTTTGTTATTCACATATAATATAAGCTGACAGGAGCCGTAATACAGAAGCATGATTACACAGAATAATTCATAGTTTTTTTTCTTCTAGGCAAACAGATGAAGTTAGAAAGTATCTCTGTTTGCAAGGATGGCTGTCTTTGTTCAGTATATGGCAAGAGCGAACTGTGAGAGAGTTTTAGCATAGCAAGGGTGCAGACAGCTACTCTGGTCATTTCCAGACTCCAGATATACAGCAGAAGAGTCCATTTTTGTCCTGCTGTATATATTAAGAATAATACGTTGTTAGAGTGGAGAGCCACATGCTAGAAATAGGAAAATATTACTTAGAAGAATGAACAAAGGAAGGAGATACTGGCTTTAAACCCTGGCTTTGTGGTCTCCTTTTCTTTCTCACTCTACAACCAAGGATAAAAATATCTATTCTCAGAAGGGATTAGGAGAATCAAATATTTTATAAAGCTTATTCAAAATGAGTCTAGGGAAAAAAATCTACAAAAACAAACCAAGAACCACAAAATCATACCTTTTCAGAAAAGAAAAAAAAATCTAGATTCAGTTTTACTGAAACTAGATACTAAAACATGTTAAATGATGATGATAGTTTTTGGTTTTTTTTTGGGGGGGGGGCGAGGAGGGGTTGTTTAGTTTTGGTTTTGGTTGGAGGAGTGGTGGAGGAGAGATTTTTGTAATGAACTCTTCATTCTTACTTTCATCAGTGTCAAAATATTCCTACTTTCCAATTTGAACTGCTTCTTTGTCCTGAAGTTTATCTGATCTTAATTTTTCCAAGAGGTAAAATGAATAAGTACATTTTTTTTCATCTAACCATTCATCTGAAAACACAGTTATATTCACAGCTCTATTTGAAATTATGAAATGCAAATCCGTCCTTCCCTACAGGGGTTGTGTGCTCAGAATCCTTCTGCCCTTCCATGGAGCTGTTCTTGCATCAGCAGAAAAGAAAAACAGCCTGTTGAAGCACAGGGAAATCCTTTCCAGTGGTGACAATTAACGTCACCTGCGCTAGGGGAATACTGGAACTTGCTGGCTACATTCAGCACAAAGGCACTGCTTATGGAAATTAAGTATGGATTTCCCATATCAATGCTGTAGGTCCATTTATTCACTTGCAACTTCTCCAGTGGCTTGATAATTATTTTTGTCTACTTGGTGATCTAATCTTCTTATTGCTGCCAAATAAAAAGCAAAAAGTGTCTGAACTTCTGCTTGTAAGAAACGGGGTTGATGAGTTTTCCATCTAGGTTTTGTAGGTGTTCATTCCCTCCTGAACTGTCACTTCAGATTCTCACAGTTACTGCTGAAAAGGATATTTCTGAAACACTCGTAAAATGTTCTTGTTGGGTATACTTCACTTTTGTTTTAAATGACATCTCCACATATTCCTCTTGGTAGCTAGACTCGTATGTTGAAGTAACCCCCTGCATTTGGATGGAGTCTTTGACCTATGTCTTCTAGAGCTTTTCATGGGTTAAAGCAAAACAGAGCTTATTTGTTTAATAAAAACATGTTGATACCATGCTTCTTTTATAGCATTTGGGACTGGGAAAGAAGATGCAGTCATTTAGTGCTCACACACCACCACATCACATTCCCTGGCTGGGGAATCCTACAGAGCACTGAGAACACCTGGAAATGCTCATCAGGGCAGAAGAGAGACAGGAGGGAGGGAGCTGGACGACGACTGGGAAGGTTGGGCACCCACACGTGGACTGATGCTGTTCTTGGTTTCCCTCTTCAGAGGTGGAAAGAAATAGCCCAAAAGAAAAGCTGCCAGAAGGACACTGTGAAAAGATAACGTGCTAATGGACTTCTAAAAAGGAAATTACAATTATGATATGAGATTACAATGGAGGAGCTGTATCAGGAAGGCGTACATGTCAGCCGTATTATGCCACTTATCCCAGTCTCTTCTCCTGGTTGATATAATTTTTACTGCAGATTCAAGAAGATGAGAGGAAGACAACTGCGTATGGTGAATCCTCAGCTAAGAGCAAGGATTAAATGAAGGTTCAGTAAACTACTTAGCAATGAATGCTATGACACTTCATTGGGAGCAAAATACGGGTGGAACAGGCAAGGGCTGGGCACATTATCATTTCTGGCATTAGGTTAATTGCATTGCTGATACTCTGCGAACTGCTGACAGAGCAGGAGTGGCTCATTGCTGGACTCTGCCCTTGTTGATGCCAGAGGGAAAAGTCTAGTTCCCACCTCTTTAAAAGCCTTGCTGAGTGAAGGGGATCATGAACAAACGGTTGGGAATATAAGCAGAAGAGGATTGTAAGAGCATATGGGGGGAGATTCTTTATCAACTGAGCTCTGGGAGTTGAGCAGGATACTCAAAAGTGTGGGTGAAGGGAGAGGAAACAAATCCCTTTTTATACTAAGGGGAAGCATCCTTCAGATGCTTGTGTACTACTGTGGGGCTCAGCCGTAATGCTACATTCACCACCTTGCACCAGAGTTACAGTGATTCCTATTTTACTTGGTTTACCCTCACATGCAGTGTGGGATGGCAGTGGCTGCCAAACACAGGCAATGAGAGGTGCACCCCCAAGCTATGAGTTAGGTAGGGCATTTCAAATGCTGCTAGCAAGCATGTGGTGCCTTGTTCCTTCACCAAGACAACTCAGTCTACCCTTGGAAAATCAGCCATTGTGTACTTGCAGGGTAGTGAAACCTCCATAGAGTAACAAATGAGCTAAAGAGAGATTTTACCCCATCTTACCAATCATCCAGAGAATTAGAAGGCAGTTTTGCTTTCCCTGATGCTCAGCCAAGGACTTGCATCGTTTTATTTCAGCTAACACTGCTTCATTTTGTTACCGTGCCAAGTAACTGAAATATGAACACCTCTGGGCAGTGGTGTGAGAAACAGAAGTTCCTATTGTGGAAAGTGGCGATCAGTTATACAGTCAGAGAAACTGGGATTTGAATCCTTTAGTTCCCGAGTCCCAGTGTTCTCCACAGGTTGGACAAAAAAAGAAAATCCTAATGTGTTCAACAGCAGCCTGGCCCAGGCCCTCTCTGCAGCCAGTTTGCAGATGGTAATGGGACTTGATTACAACAAGCTGTGGTGAGGAAAAAAAACTGTGAGCAACCTGCCTGCCACAGCTAAAGAGCAACTGGTGAAAAGGGTAGGTGTTTCTTCCAAATTTTGGATGGAGCAAGAAGTGCCACTCAGCTGCTGGTGAGCACAGGTACGAAACACAAGGTAGAGCCAAGTGCTCCATGGAGGGGTCAGTCCATGGGAGTCTAAACCACCAAGGCAAAGGGAGAAGAGAGTGATTCAAGCTCCTGGTAAATTTGGAAGGATTTGGGCTTGGACCATAACCAAATGCCTTGCACTTTGGACTGTTTGGATTCCAACCTGGATCTGAGCTAATCAGTTCAAACCTTTTCTAACAAAGGGATCTATTTTACATACCACATAAAATCATGTTCACCTGATTTAGTGTCTCAGAAAAGAGTTCTCCTTCAAAGTATGTTTTTATGGAGTTAGTTTTATGGGCTGATGTTTATGGATATTGTCTTATAAAATATACATACAGTAATGCCCTGTAGGGTATTAAAGTTTTGTTCTACAGACACGTTAATGATGTCAAAGATTAGATCTGTCTCCAACTCCAATGAACACAGAAGTGAAACCTGCTTACAGTCAAGAAAAGGGTAAAGTGTTTTGGCATGAGGGTCTTACAGAGATCACCTGAGACCAGCTGTAAAGAGACAGGCGATAGCCCTGTAAGTGAAAATGGTGTATCCTCCCTCTCTCTCCTTAAAAAGCAGAATTACCTGCTTTGAAATACAGACGTGCACTCTCAGAAACAATGCATCCTTTGCCAGCAAGATAAGAATCAATTCAATTTGTCAGATGACAAGGTGATCCTTTTGCATTCCTCTCCAGTTTTAAATCAAAGCTGGTGTATAAAGTCAGCAATGTTTACCTCTCTATGGAAGTAACTCTTTGAAATGAGAGATTTAGAAGGCTGACAGTATTGATCCAGCTAATTGTGTACTAATTCGGAGGAGAGTACAACAGGATTATGCTGTTAGAAGAAGGAAGTCTAGAAAAAGGAGTAAGATCCAATCTGGACATTTTATTTTATTTTATTTTATTTTATTTTATTTTATTTTATTTTATTTTATTTTATTTTATTTTATTTTATTTTATTTTAGGATGTGAGAAAATTGAATCACAGAAGACCCGTAAATCCTGTTACATCTTGCATGTAAGCAGTTCAACATGAACAAGATCAAGAAAACATCACTGTGTTCATACAGTACATCCTGAATATCCATTATTCAGTACCTTGAAATGCCATTTATGGGAGTATAAAATGAGTATAAAACATTACAGAGTCAAAATGGTAGTAATCTGGGTACTTTTCACCAACTCCAGAAGTAGTCTCTCTACAATATGGAAAACACTGCAGAGTAAGTCCTAGTGATATAAAGCAGTTTGTCACTCAGCAGTCACTAATATACTGGGAACAGAATTTTCAATGATTAAACACCATATTTTAGCTACTAAACGTGTTCTTTTAACATCTTCCCATCTTGGCAAAGGAGGGAAGAAGAAAAGAAGAGCCTAGGGCTGCTCATGTAATTACTTGTGGAGTCTGGTGAGGCTGTGGGGGATCTGGCTTTCTAGATACACTGAAATTTAGGGGCGGTAATAGTTTACTAAAGGTTTATTAATAACATATTTATTCATTTGGCGGGAATCAGAAAGGTCACGACAAACTCAAATGTCCATGGGGCCTCTAAGAATTAGAGATGGTTCAAGTGCAGAGATCTTTCTTCAGCCCAATGTAAAGGAACACTTTAACATAGAAAGCTGAAACCTAGTGCCTGAATTTTGATTAATTTGTGGGTTTGCTTTAATTATTCACACCCTTCCTCTTGAAAACCACAGTCTAAGTACACATGTTGAAACAGAGCACCAATTTGTGATGATTTTCCTCTCCAGCAACAATTTATTGACTTACCTTGAATTACAGAATTTGAAAACAGCTGACTGTGAAGTTATAGGAGAGTAAATACTGCATTGCACAATGAGGTGAAAAGTAACTGGAAAAAAATCCACTCTCAGCCTTTGCTGAATGGTACTGAAGAAAAGAGTTTGTTCTTGAAGAGTGCAGCTGGTGTTTGACGTGTTGCACAAGGCAACTGGAAAGTCAGCGTGCACTTTGAGTTGAGGTACAGGGGCTACATTTTTATTTTCTTGACCTTCCGTGCATTTTGTCTGGTTTAATCCCTCCCTCAAGAGACTCATATAGCAGCATAATCACTTAAGTTATGCCCACCCACACGTGACCACAGGGAGTTACACAAGGAAAACTTTCTATTGCTTTCACTGGGGAGTCAGAGAAGAGATTATTTTAGACAAGAAAAGAGAGGAAGAGAATGAGAGAAATACATGCATATGTGTTTTTTTTTCTAGATTGGTATTGGTGTATGCTCTGGACAGTTAATTCAATAGCCAAGTGTATTTGGGTATGTATGGCTGATAGTAGAAAAAAGACTGCAATCTTCAGGCTTCACTGTACAGAAAAAAAAAAGGGGGGGGGGGGGGGGGGAGGTTGTATCACATTTTTAAAGCCTGGCATTTGAAATACATCTTGTATGCAATTTGCACCAGCTACTGCCATAAATAACACTTCTCCCCTAGAAACTTCTTGTAGCTAAAGTTGGAACCCCAAACTTTCAGCTATTTCCTTTACTTCTCTTCGCTCTGACCTTCAGAGACTTACAAAGGATGTCTTCTGAAAACTTGTTTTTTTTCTCCTCTGAAACACTTTGTCAGAATGAAATCTATCAGCTAGCTCTATAAGTCAAGGCAGCTTTTACCAGTATAGTTACTGCATTGCTCATCTAATGGACTGCTGTGTAAGTGGGACGATATTCTAAAATACTGGGCATTTCCTGTTTTACAAGTGAAGTGTGTTAGACACCACTCACTGTATTTCCCAACTGTTGGTTTCTTTTATAATGATAATAACAGCTTTAGAAAAGTTATTTGCAGATACTACTTTCTTTCTTTTTTTTTGTCGCAGTCTTGCTCTGGCATTACCAATTTGGAAAGCAACTGCAGCCTAAAAAGCAATCATTTGCAATGACATTGGAACATACAGAGAATTTTAAAAGGTGCCTCTATTGGAGATTGCTACGTAAAAAAAAAAAAAAAAAAAAAAAAAAAAAAGCTGAAATGAAAAGCCACTTACCTTTCTTTCAAAGTTTCACAACAAATGCGTCCTTGACAAATGTGTGGAGGGTAACTACAGAAGGAAAAGTTACCTTAGCAAAGCAAGAACTAAGCTGCTTGAAATGAGCTATAGCACTGCACTGCAAGCACTTGTGAGTGGAGTGGGGGAATGGTGTTTAGAGCCAGCCATTCCTCATGGGTGAGTTCTCCTTGTGGTCCTCTGTAGAGCTAGGACCTTAAAAACAAGTGGGAAGGCATCTGGGAAGATGTGTCAGCCCAATAACCATTTCTGGGTCAAAATCCTGATTGCTATCCCCTGGCCAGGGCAGCCTTTTGGAGCTGCACTATCAGAGACTGGGGTTGCAGGACCAGAGAACCACTACAAGGTTTCAAGTGTGAATATGAGACTTCCTGAAGATATGCCCTGCCTGCAGGTAATTTCCTAAAGAAAGATCATCTTTGGGAAGACCTATTTCATGCAATGTCATATTGAGTGACCATCCCACAGATGCTGGAGCAAGAGGAGGAGTAGAAAGGAAGGACGACCTGTCTGCTCCCCTCACTTGGAAGCTGGGAGGGGATGTCTCAGGTAACCCTCCTCTGTGGGGTCAGGAGTGGGACTGGTCCCCCACACCCTTTTTACCAGTCAAACCAGATAGACCATTAATCTCTACCTCCATAAGTGTTTTATTTTGGGACTTACCAGGGAACAGATGAAAGTCAAAGCAATTAGAAGTGTACTGAGGTTTTCTCAGTCCAGCCCCCTTTGCTTCCCTTCTCTCAAGTTTTTTGTATTCTTATTTTATTTTAGAATA